GAGGCCCATGCAGATGAAGAGATGGAGCCCTTTCCTCTTAAAGGGCTTGCATATGATTTACTCAGACTCACTTCTTCTGAGCTCCAGCCCTGGGGCAGTAGCTCGAAAGGCACCACAAATATCTGGGGAGTCTAGTCTCAGGGCAAGAGTTTGGGAGACAGCTTTCTCCCAGAAGTGCTGGCAGAGGCCATTGTTCCTTTGATGAGCCCTCCCCCAACAGAGCCGGCAGGCAGACACCATATTTGAGACTCCCTCAACCTGGCTTACATTGTTCATCCTGCCCTTGTGATTCCCTGAGCTCCCCCACTCCCACCAATCTTCAGTCCCAAATAAGCTTTTTCTAGTGACTTTTCCATACAAATGGCCTGACTTGGCTCCTGCTTCAGATTTTCCTAAATTCCCTCAAACAAGTAGCATCTGGCCTTAGTGTTCACCATACCTTTCACTAAGTGGCCCAGACCTGGCACTGGCAGCAGTTGACCTTGGTTCACAGTTTGACCTTGCCTGGGCACCTCCAACCCGAGCACAAGTATCAGCAACCAACAAATCATTTTGTAGCTCATGCCGGCTGGATCCATGCAGAACACAGGTGGTGGCTGACCTTGGCCTGTATCTCCCTGGAAGCCCTAGAGCCAGTGCACCCAGTGGACAGCTTCAGACCATGTTGAAGCACCACCACCCAACCACCTGCACAAGTAATACACTCAAGGAGTGGACTCAGCAGGCAACAGAGCCCCAGTGAATGTTAAGTCCTGCTCTGTGGGGTGTGGGGTAGGCCCCTCCACAGCTGATTCTCCACAGTGTTCAGAGGTAAGTGGTTGGTGATTGAAGCCAGTCCTTGAAGCTGATTGGCCCCGGGGGTAAATACTTCCCATTGATGTGCCAATAGCAATCAAGTCTCAAGTACAACAGAATGGTGTACACAGCCCACACTGGGGTGCAGCTAGAGTACCCAAGCTTGGGTGATCAGGGAGGTTGTGCCGTTGGACCCTACAGAACACCTACTACATCAGGTCACTGTACCAAGCCCATGAGCTATAGCAGCTCTACCTAATACATAGAAACAAACACAGAAAGGCTGCCAAATTGAGGACACAAAGAAACATGTCTCAAATGGAAGAACAGAACAAAACTCCAGAAAAAGAACTAAATGAGATGGAGACAAGCAATCTACCAGATGCAGAGTTCAAAACACTGGTTATTGTAGCATCCAGCAAACTCGAGAACAAATATCGGAGACTTTCAGGGTATCAAAGATGTTACTTTATTGGCCAAGTTTAACCTGCGCAGGGGCAAACTCTTAAAGTGTCCAGTGACACAGTGCCCACAAGGAGCTGCCAATGAGAGCCGCGCCGAGCGCTTACAACTACATTCTTATATATGGGCGGGCAAGCAAGCGTTATACAGAAGCAGACGTGGCAGTTAGTAATTCGCTTACAAAGACCGAGCGCGGGAATTTCAAACCAAGCATTCTTTCATAAGGCAGGAAGGCAGGATGTTTGTTCATTAACCTAGTAATCTCCTGGCTCTAGCTAGCTAGTTTTCTATTTTCTCATTAAAAACTACAAAGCACTGCTTATCTAGCCTACCCAGGGAGAGCGTCTGCTAGACACAGGATGTTTGCTTTAACTGTACTTTGTCTCTTTTATCATTTCTTTTTAGCTACAATGTGGTTCTTGTCTATTAAGGTTAAATTTAGTTCTTAATTTCCTTGTTCCCAACAGTTATAAGGATGCTCAATGAACTGAGGGGAAGAGTAGGTGAACTTAGTGAGAACTTCAACCAAGAGATAGGAAACAAAAACAGAACTAGAAAACATAAGAAAGAACCAGCCAGAAATGAAGACTACATTAACTGAAATGAAGAATACATAGCAGGGAATCAATGGTGGCGTACATGAAGCAGAGGATCAATTTAGAGATTGGGAAGATAAGGAAGCAGAAAACACCCAATCAGAACAGCAAAAATAAAAAAGAATCCCCCCCCCCAAAAAAGGAAGCAGTGTAAGGGTCCTCTGGGATAACTTCAAGCGTACCAACATTTGCATCATGGGGATGCCAGAAGGAGAAGAGAGTGAGCAAGAAATTGAAACCCTATATGAAAGAAAATATAATGACAGAACACTTACCTAGCTTGGTGAAGGAAATACACATGCAAGTTCAAGAAGCACATAAAGTTCCAAAAAGAATGAACCCAAAGAGGTCTACACCAAGACACATCATAATTAAAATGCCAAAGGTTAAAGACAAAGAATCTTTAAAAAAAAATTTATTTATTTTTTGAGAGAGGGGAAGGGAGAAAGAAAGAGAGGGAGAAAAATGTCAATGTGTGGTTGCTTCTTACCACTGGGGACCTGGCACACAACCCAGGCATGTGCCCTGACTGGGAATCAAATCAGCAACCCTTTGCTTTGCAGGCTGACACTCAGTCCACTGAGCCACAACAGCCAGGGTAAGACAAAGAATCTTAAGAGTAGCAGGAGAAAAGCAGTTACTTAGCTTCAAGGGAGTAGCTATAACACTATCAGCTGATTTCTCAACAGAAACTTTGCAGGCCAGAAAGGATTAGCAAGAAATATTCAAAGTGTTGAAAAGCAGAGACCTACAGCCAAGGTTATTTTACCCAGCAAAGCTATCGTTGGTAATAGAAGCATAAAGATCTTCCCAGATAAGAAAAAACTAAAGGAGTTAATCACCACCAAACCAGTATTACATGACATGTTAAGGGTCTTTTAAAAAGAAGAAAAAATATATCAACAACAAAATGGCACTAAGTACCTATCTGTCAACAATTGAATCTAAAAAATCAAAATGAACAAACAGACAGAAACAGAGACTCATAGATACAGAGAATAATTTGACGATTGCCAGATGGGAAGGGGTTTGGGAGGATGAGTGAGAAAGGGGAAGGGATTAGGAAGTATGAACTGGTTGTTACAGAACAGTCATAGGGATGCCAATGACAGCACAGGGAATATAGTCAGTAATAGTCTAATAACTACGTGTGGTGGCAGATGGGTGCACGATTTATCAGGATGATCATTTACTAAGTTATGTAATGTCTAACCACTGGGGTGTACACCTGAAACTAATATAATAATGTATGTCAACTATAATTGAAAAATACAAATAAAAAAAAGAAATGTCAAAATATTACCCCTATTATTCCTGACAACATCTTTTAAGCATCTGAAATGTAACCATGCCTAGAGCCAGTCTACCCAGTTTAGCAAACCAGTGGATTCTATTTTTGGTTTGGCTGGTTTTTAGTGACTTGCTGTGTGGAGTCCTGACTGACATGACAATGACAACATCTATTTTACGTTATTTGTGTGGCACTGGGCACAGCTCCACATGCAAATGGGGCTGCTTAAATGTATGTGATGGTCAGATTGCTGCCGTGGCTAGATCCTGATACCAGTTGCAAAGCTTGTTTTGGAGAGATTCCCAAGTTCACTGCTAAACCTTAAAGTGCATTGCCTCCTCTCCCATGGTAGAAGTTAAAAGAAGGAAGGAAGAATCTTTCCTTTAGGTTATCTGGAGTCAGAATGCCCTCTCTTTCCATTCACCCCTTTGGAGATTATACTGAGGCCCCACCTTATTTCTGCCTGTTAACCCTTCCTGCTTCTCTATAAGCACGTTTCAACTTCCCAGAGTAAAAAGGCTGAGAAAAAAACAGCCTCTCAGCTATAACTTCCCCTTCCCTGCCCAACCAACTCTTCTGAAGCAGTGGGCTATGCCCTCCACCCCTGCTGCTCATCTTCCTGAACTCTATTTACTTCTAACCCAGTGTGACTTAGTTTCTGCTCCCATGTCCCCATCGAAACTGGGGTCACAGGAGTCATCAATGACTTCCTCATTGTCAGATTCAATGGGCACATTCCAGTGCTTGTTTGCTGGATGTGTCTGTGGCATTTTTCACTCCCAACCACTTCCTTACCCTAGAGATCTCTTCATTTGGATTGCTTCATGCCACTTTTTTTCCCCTGGGTTTCTTCCCACTTCTTTGCCCACTCCTTAAGATCCCTATTTGATCCTTAGAAGCTGGTGTCTGTTGGGGTTAGGTTCTCATCCATTCCATGATCTTCTCATTCTTCCTGCTCTCTCTGGGTCATCTCAGCCCCACCCCAGCTTCGGTGACCACCTCAATTTTGACCACCCCCCAAGGGCACCTCCAGGCCTTTCTCCCACCATTAGCACCCATGTTCCTAACTGCCTCCTAGAGCTCTTCCCCGGAAGTCCCACAGGCATAAAGGATATGTTCAAACATGCCATCTCCCTCTCAGACCAGTTTCTATTCCTTGAATTGCTCTCACAGTAAATGTTATCATCATCCATGAACCTGCACAAAGAACCTGGGAGTCTCCCTGGGTTGCCCTTTTCCTTTCCCCACTCCATGCTTACTGACACAGAAACTTGTGCCTGGCAGTACATAACGTATCACCCCAGGCAGTGTGAGTGGATGGATGAATGAAACATGGGAACACAAAAAACCAGGGCTCCAACTTGAGTCTAACACTTGATGACATTTTGCCTTTCTCAGTTTTTTACTTCTTCATTAACATGAGGGGTCATCTTTGTCCCAGACGATCTTCAACTCTGAGGATCTGTGATTCCAGACTACTCCAGCCTGACACCGTAAACACTTAACCACCATTCCTTCTTATCTCCTTAAACCTGTTGCTCCCTTTTGGAGGCTGTCCTGCCTAGAAAAACAAAGGCGAGAGGACCTTGTGATAAAGTAGGCAATAAAACATATATTATACCACCTTGCAGAACACATTTCACCCTGATAAGAGGTCCCCATGTATCTCTGCAGCCATGGTGAGTCACAGTGAGAGTTGGGAGGGGAGGAAGGGGAGAGGGAGGGGAAAGGGTGGGAGCAGCTGAAGAAAAGATAAACAGAGGCCATTTCCTCCTTTCCCTGTCTTGCCAGGTCATGCAACCCCGTGTGAGTATGCACAAGCGCTGCACACGGGAAAGTACCTTCCCTCTCCTTCCGCCTGACTTCTGTCTGGTAATGAGTACCGTGATTGTCTCATGAACGGCTCTGTGCTTAGCACTTCTGCTTCTCAAAACACTGAACGAGTATCTGAGTGACCTCCACGTGCAGGCATCGTGTTAAAGCAATGTGCACTTTACTTCATTTAAGCCCTGAGACACGAGCAGGTAGGTCTTATTTTTATCTTCTGTTTGCAGACCAGGAAATAGGGCATAGGTTAATTGCTTCTTTAAGGCCATCCAGCTAGTGGTGTACTCCAGAACATTATCAAATCAAACTTAGGTCCGTCTCGGTGGTCATTGTTACACGACTGATGTATTCGTGGTTATCTTTTGTGCCCTACATATACCATTTAGTACATAGTATCCAGGTGCTTGATAAATGCGCACTGAAGGCGTGCCCGGACCATTCTAATACAAGCCAGATCTGATCTCTGCTGCCAGAATCCAGAAATGCAGCATTGGTTATGTCCTATTGCTTTTTTTGGACCCCAATTTCCTCATCTGTAAAATGGAGGAATAAAGCAGGAATCCTCTGGGGAGCCGGTATCTTTAGCATTCTGGGACTCTCTTCCAATAGTGCAGTGTCCCCAACGTGCTGCTAGAAAACCGAACAGAGAGGAAAATTAAGATAGCTAGGTCCTCAGCTGAGGGGCCCACAGCTTTAGGACTGACGCATGCGCCGTGCCTGCAGCCCAAGTGCCAAAGCCCGAAGCAGACGCGGCCCTTCTCTGCGCATGCGCATATCTGGTTACCCGAATGCCAGCGCTGAGTGTAGGAGGGAGTCCCAACCGCGGCGCTGGGGAAATCAGTACCGCAGCTAGGGATGTGGCAATCTTGCCAGGAACAAAAGGGGCCCCACGCAGGAGGTGTCTGGGCCTCGCTGGGAAAGGCCAGCGCCTTTCTCAAGGCCCCTGGGAAAGCTGTTCCCAGTGCGGTAGAACGTGCTGCAGCCTCGGTGCGCGGGACGTGCAGGGCAGCACGGAGGGGCCGTGCCTTCCCAGCGGGGAGGAGGGAACTGAGCCCTGGGCGCTGCGGCGGGCGGAGGACCGGCTCCCCATCCCCCGACCCTGACTCGGAAAGCCAGTGTTTTCCTCTCAAAACGATACTGATGATTAAAGTAAAATCTTCTGAGGTCACTGAGGGCATTTGACCCACGAGTGATGGGGAATGCGAGGTCCGAGGCGTCGCCTGATAGTGTGAGCTGCTGAAACGCAGCGAACACTGCAGGGAGGCCCACGCTTCACTGCTGCTTCGGCATAAATAAAACCTATTTTTACCCTGGGTGAGACACGGGGTGTGTGCGTGTGTGTGTGTGTGTGTGTGTGTGTGTGTGTGCTGGGGAGGGGTCACGGGGAGAGAGCGCGTGCAGCCTTTCCCCTACTCATCCTGTGATCTTACTCCTCTTTCTGCTGTAGAGTCCCTCCCCAGAATTAAGGTTATTATTATTATTATTATTATTATTATTATTAATATTTGAAATCAGGGAAGGAAAAAGGATGTTAATCAAAAAGTTTCCTAAATGATAAAAATAAGTGAGATGTCAGCATTCTGATTTGCCCATTAATCGCCTTGGGTTCTTCTTTGACATCTGCTGAATGTCCAAGTCAGAGGTTATTGATCCGAGTTTTCTGTTCCCTACTCCGGGAACCTGGAATATCGTCTGGGAAGTGCGGGTCAGGGGGCTGGGGGAGACAGGGGAAGGGAAATGCCTTCTACCAAGATGCCATTCAGGTTATTACTTTTGGCTGTTTGACCCCATCCTGTTAGGACCTGAAGTCCTGATCTGCAAACAGGGATTTATTTCGGCCCCCGTAGGCGGTGGGAAGGCAGAAAGCTGTCCAGAAAGGGTAGTTGCTTTGAGTTTTCAGCTGATCTGGGCCACCCGGAGCCTGTGCCTATACTTCCCTCTGTCAGAAGAAAGGTAGCCCCGAACTCCCCACTCTCAGGAGATGGGACATGAGAGACAGCTGTTCCAGGAATCATTGCCAACAGCAATTCATTTCAGATCACTCAGTTTACTTTGATTCCCCTTAACTTTATTTCCCTTTCTTCTCAAGCCCTAACAAGTCTGGAAAAGGTGACAATGAAAATAATTTTAAAAATTAAAGAAGGCAGGAATAACCCTTCACATTAAAGAGAAGTTGTAGAGATTCACCATTTTAAGGATTTGCATAGATGGCCTTTTTAGCAGTTTCCTTTTTGAAAATTATGGAGACAAAAAAAAAAAAGGCAACCTTCACCCAGGAGGAAAGTTTACCTGGAAAACTCTGTCACTTCTAAGATTCACTAGCTCAGAATAAGGATATAGGGTGGGAATGTGTGGGATGGGTTGGTGGGTTTAAATGTGCTGCTTCTCTGACTAATGTCTCCAACACTGAGGAGAAAGTAAGCTTTGCCGTCTGCAAAGGGCAGTTGGAATTCGAAGTTGTGGGGAAGCATCCTGTCCCAGAAGCCACCACAACCTCCTAGGTTCCAGGACAGCTGGGCTCTTGGGTATTCATCCACTTCTCCCCAAGGCAAGCCCAAGAAGACAGTGTTTTAATACGGAGATGACACAATTCAGGGGCCCTTTCAGAGAAGAAAACCCCCAAACATCCTCATTTCTGTACGCCAGTTCCTTCTTAGTGAAGTTTGAGGTGAGGCCCCACCAAATTATCCTTACTGTTTTTTGTTTTCGTGTATGTTTGTTTTGCTTTTAAAAACATAGCAGAATTTCTCTGTCTAAATGGATGCCGACTCTGATCACTTTCCGACCACCAAGAAAGGTGGCAGCAGAGCCGTCCACGTACATGCCGGGGGGCAGTTCTGTGCTAGCCACCTTTCCGCCACCCCCAACAGATTAGATGATCCATCCGCAGGGCACACTTCAAATGCAGGCAAGCTGCCCTGCCCGCCCCGGCCGCAGTCACTTTCACTAGCCTGTCACTCTACATCCATAGCAACTAGCCCAAGTCTGAAACTCAGAAAGACAGGTCCCTGAAGAGATTAGATCTCACAAGATGTTAGTATCAACCATTTGCCCTTGTGGATCTATCGGAGATCATATTTATTTATAAGAAAAGAAGTCTAAACTTTTAAGAGTTCAAAAATCACTTTCTTTTTTGTAATATAGTACAAGAGAAGAGGGTTCTGGGAGTGGTAACTTAATTTGTATCTAATTTTGGAAAAATAATTGCAGACTGCTTCCAGCTTGAATGAGCAGCATGGGATAGCTCCCAGTAGTTGCTTATTTTAGTAGCTCCCCCTCAGGATGAACGCTCGCTATTTTCAGTTGCACGTGGGAAAACCAAGGGCACTGCCTGGCTGTGGCAAGCTGGCATCGCGCGTATGAGCTGTCAGCCGTGATGCTCAGTTCCACTTAGATTCATTTCTCATTTTTAGTTGGCGTGTGACCTTTTTCTTTATTCAGTTTGGGGTCCCGATCACTTCCTTTCTCTGCCTCCCTACCTTCCTACCTATCTCTACCCACACAAGCAGCTTCTGGCTGAATCCATCTAAAAATAATAGCATGAGTGCCAAGTGGGTTGTATAAAATCTTTAGGGAGAGATGGGAAATGAAGCACGCTGTTCTTCAGGGCTCCTAGGGACCAGAGTGTACCCGTCCACAGAAACAAACTAACATGCAGTGAAATTACACGTCTCTCTCTATAATTTATGCAGAATGGGATAATGCCAACATTGTGACTTAAATAGCTCTGGTATATGTGGTAAGCCATCTTTAAAATGACCCCAGTGGTCACCATCTGCTAGTATCATCCCCTGTGTAAACCCCCTTTGCATGTGGGCTGAGCCTAGTGACTCTCTAATCAAATAGAATATAACACAAGTGATGGGATGTCACTTCTGGTTTTAGGTTACAAAAGACTAGGCCATTCTCATTCATATTTCTCTCTTTCTACTCCCCCCCCCCTTCTTTCCTTTCTGTCTCTGCCAAGTGCCATGTTGCACGCTGCCCTATGGAGAGCCCCATGCAAAAAGGAACTGACTTCAGAGACCTGCCGACAGCCACGTGAGTGAGCCTGGAGGGTGACCCACCCTCATGCAAACCTGGAGGTGATGGGGCCCCGGCTGCACTGCATTCCCAGCCTGTGAGACCCTGAGCCAGGGGACCGCCCAGCAAGTTCCAGGGTCGTGATCCACAGAAACTGTGAGGGAATACAGTTGTTGTTTCAAGCACCTAAGCTTTAGGGTAATTTTTTATACTGCAAAAGAAGTCCTAATTAATACAATATTCCCTGAAGCAGGGCATTGGGAACCTCCGGTGACCCCTCCAGAGCTCTGGCTCCAGCCTCAGCTCCGGCTGCAGCCCCACCATCACCCCTGGGGCCACTTTTTGAGCACACCGTGCTCCTGTGTCTCTTCGTGTCTGTGTATGTGCGGTTCCTCCTGCCTGAGACAACCAGTCTCCTGTGCTCCAGATAAATTCCTGCTCTCCCCTTGACACCTGCCTCAGATGTGCCCCCTGGGAAGCGTCCCTGACTCAGCCGGGCAGAGCTCCCGTCCCCTGCCCTGAGGCCCCCGCAGCACTGCGCCTCTGCCTGGGCCACTTGCGCTGTCCTGACTGGTGGGCTGTGAGGCTGCAGTTCCTGGAGGGCAGGACACTTTTCTTCATCTTCCAACCCCCAGCACCCAGCACAGCAGTAAAACGCCATTCCTGGAATGGATCGATGACTTTTGTAGAAGTAAGGGCGGTAGGCAGGAGAAGGCATGTGGTAGCTGGTGTCATGCCCAGCTGATGCAGGAATCCTACCACGGTATCCCCTAAACATGTGGTAGGAGAGTGCTTGGATTAATAGGACAATGCATGGATTTTTGAGCACTTGATCAGCAGATCTGACGCGGTAGCAGCCAGTAGTGTTGTGAAGCTCTGGTCCCCACTCCTCAGGCCTTCAGCTAAAGGTCATGGGAGCCTGGGAGTTGACAGTCTTGTCATTCGAGTTGTTATCATTACAACCCATGACCTTTGGCTTGATATGTTCCAGGCGTCACGACATTCTTTCCTTTCACTTTTAGGGAAAGCTAGAAAGAAGCCATGAGGGCATCCTTTGGGACATCCTGAAAGAGAGGAAAGTTTTCTTTGTATCTCAGTTGGGACTCTAGCCCATGAAGGGAGGGACTCCTTGCAGGGGAGGTTGTTTGAAGGTCGTGCGGGTGTGGAATACATTGTAGGCTTACCTACCCATCACCGCGTCCTGGTAACTGTCCCTCCTGGATAGGATCTCCCCCTTTTTCTCCTATGTTGCTCTTCTTCTGGTCTCGAACTTGTCTGTAACAGCTTCCTAACCAGTCTCATGGCATCCACTATGACCCTTTCCAAGCTTTGGTCTACAGGGAGGCTGTAGAAATCTTTCTGAAATGCACATTTGATCACATCGCCCGTCTACTCAAACACATCAGTGACTCTCTGTGCGTGGTCGGCCCTGAGACCAGCCTTGCTGTGCCTCCTGCCCCTGCTGCTGCCTCAGCTTTTGTCGTGAGGCAGCAGCAGGGGCAGGAGATGCAGGGAAGACTTGCATCTTCCATGGTCTCGAATACACAGGCACTGTCCCACTGCATTGATGCAAGGGCTGGCCTGGCCCACTTAATCCCACTGTCTCTTCCGATTTCCCTTCGCTCATCATTTCTTCAGAGATCTCCCTGACAGCCCTTATTAAATCAAATTAGCATAACATTGCAGTCTTATGTTAATTTGTGTGGGTATTTGATCAAGCCCATCTCCTTCTCTATTGTATAAGTTCCATGAAGGCAGAGACCATGTTTGTTTTTGCTGACACTGTATTCTAGCTACCTAATATGACCCAGCAAAGAGCAGGCGGTCTGTCGGTATTTGCTGAGTGAATGAGTGAACGAACAATGGGTGCCACCGAGGGTGCGTGGAGGAAAAACAAATGCGGGAAGAATGAGAGCTTAATGGAACCCAAAGCTGGGACACAGGGAGATGATTCGAATGTACACTATTCTAAAATAAGATCTTGGAGTTCCCTAAGACTAATTACAGAATTCACAGAGTGCACATCATTCATAGTGATATGTAACTCCCCTTCCCCCCAGGCCACAAGAGCCTCAGGGAAAACCAAGGATTTTGGATCAATTCCCAGAAGTCTTTGGCTCTGCTTTCCCACCCCTTCTACCCCATCCCCCCTCAGGCCAGCTCTCCTCTGCAGAGGGGGAAGGGCCGGGTGGGGGAAGAGCCTCCCAGGGTCTTTCTCAGGGTCTGTGTGTATCTGTGTTGCTGCCACCACAGCAGGGCCCTGCAGCCTTATTCAGGCACTTTTTGCTACCGACAGCGCCCCTCTTCTCCACAGGGGGTACGATGGCCACCCTGCTGTGGCAGCCCCTGCTGGGACCTCTGCCCCCCATGGGTTTGGGGTGATGAACCATACACCTCTCCTCTCCCTTAGGTGATTCCCACCCTTCCTGAGCTGTCATCTTCTCTCAGCAGTTTTGTAGGGTGCAAATCATTTCCCCCTATTCGTCCAAGCATCTCGAGACGAGGGGTCTAGGGCCTGCCGGTTGGTTTCATTTCCCAATCCCCGTTTCTCCCAGAGCTCAGGGGGCCTGACCATTCATCCCGCAAACATCAGCTGCATCAGGGAAATACATGAGCAAAATGCTGCCCTCACCCCAGGAACATAACGTCTTCTGGGGCTCTTTCTGGGGACTTTCACCTTGGGGAGAGGTGTTCAGCTATCAGGCTAGATCTCAGAGTGCGTCTTCCCTGCAGTAATTTTTGCCAAGAGCCAGGAGTTTAGAAAAACATTAATCCGCCTTTTTCAGCTTTTCCCACACAGATGACAACATTATTACCCTCAGCTTTTAATGTGCAAGTCTGTACACAAATCACAGAGACCAGGAGGGCTCCTGAGTCATTTGAGATTAACTCCCTGTTTTTTCTTTCTAGGTCTTCCGTCTCTGTGAATCAGCGACGTGGAGAACGGGGGCTTCAGAGAAATTGAGGGAGGCGTGAAATGAGCAAAGCAGAGCGGAGTGCTGGCAGGAGCCGAGGGTGCCACACTGGGAAAATCACGCCGTGCGTCATCGAAGGGAGCGTGCGTGCAGTGATGTCTGTCTGCCCCCTCTGAGCAGCATCCACACAGGCTGGGGCAGCCAGATCACTGTGACTTGGGTGGGGATGGAACAGGGATGAAAATGTCCCGCACAGCCAGGGTATTCTAGGGGCCTATACTGTCAGGACGGCCTGTGCAAGCCTCATTTAGTCTTCTGAGTCACAGCTGCTGGGCTAACCTCGTGGTGTCAGGAATCCATAGCAAATCCAACTGCCTCTTCCGCATTGCGCTCGCTCCTGCGGCACAGCATTCATTGGCTGGTGTCTTCTTAGTGCCCTGGACCTCATCATATGGCAACTGATGGATGATCTGTCCCTCCTCTGGGCTGGGAGCTCCTCCAGGCAGGAACCTTGGCCCAGTTTCTTCTGCCCCTCCAGGCTCTGGCATCTAGTAGGTTTCTATGAATAAGTGAACAGCGTAGAGACATACTGGAGGCAAAAAAACTACTCCCATCTGGAAATGTGCTCGATAGCATAGTACTCTGTTGGTTCTCTACAGCTATAGGACCCAAAGAAGGAATAATGTGTCCTTTCCAGAAAAGGCATGCCTTGTGCCTGGAACTACACAAGGGAAGGTGCCTGAAAATGGGAGTCAGGGAAGGCAGAGGTGGACGAGGGCCCCAGAAAAATGGCACAGGAAATGGAGGTGTTCGTCCTAGGTAGATCCCACAGCATCTCAGGCAAAGCGCTTATTCTCCAGGAAATCCACAGACAGTGCCTGGGAACAGGGCGAGGGGAGGCCCTGTTAAATCAGTCCCTTAAAGTCACCCCGCCCCTCCCCCGGTGGACTCCCATGCTTTGCCGGAGCTGTCCACTAGGGGGCAGACGGAGGCAGGAGGAGAGGCGCTGCGGCAGGGAGCGCCCAGTACACCCAGGCTCACATCCAGCACACTGGGTTGTTTGTATTAATCAGACAAGGCCAGGCCTCTCTTCCTGCCTGTCGTGGCCTCTGTGATTTTATATGGTGTGGCCTGTGACATCAGACACCACACGACCATGGTAACCAAACTACACAGCTCAATGTGAATGTTAATAAACAGGGAAGCATATGATCCTGTTTTTCTTACTTTACTCACCATTGTGGTTTTTCTTACTTTTTAAAATTTTTTTAAATTTTATTTTTCAATTATGGTTCATGTTCGATATTATTTTGTATTAGTTTCAGGTGTACAGCATAGTGGTCAGATAATCATATACTTTACAAAGAGTTCCCCTGGTATTTCTGGCACCCTGCTGGCACCATAACATGGTTTTTCTATTCATGCTCCATGGAACCTTTATTATCCTGAACAGTCAAGGTGCACTTGAGTCCAACCACTTTTAAAATGAAAAGATAAATGGGAAAAATGTGCACTAGTCTCCTGTTCATCTAGCCTTGAAAATGGCAACTCATTTCCTCCTGTTCAAGTTACCACCACTTCCTCTTGATATCCTGCCTGCCCACACATCATGTTAAGGGAAAATTATTTTCTTGATAATTCCCACACCTCTTGAAAAGTCATTTCCTCTTAAGAAACTCCAGCTGATGGGATCCCTCAATTGGTTTAAGTTTCTTCTAATCCTCAAGGATTCATAAAAAAACAGCACACGGCCCTCCTATACACATCACCTCCTGTACAAATCATGGAGCCCATAGACCTGGGCCTAAAATACACCAGACTGAGCGTGAAGGAATAAACACTGTACCAGGCCAGACCACAGAAAGGAAAGTCTCTGTGTAGAAATGAGAGTTGCTTCATACAAAATCAGAGAGTTTGGAAGTTGAGTTCACTAGCTTGCTGAGAATGTCCGATTAGAAACCCACAAATGTTTGATAACATTAATAGAAAGCTTTGCCTGAATGAAGTTAAAAGACTCTTTAATGAATTGCATCTTTAATTGGAATGAAAACAAACCAACCATATTACATCAACCAATGGGGAATGGCAAAACCATCCTAAAAGAAATAGATTTCTAGTGGAATCAGAATACTTATGCAAACCTTTTCATGCTGCAGACTTTTTTGAATGCTACCCTTGATTTCATTGCAATGGTAACCACAGCTGAGAGAAATATCCTTTAAAGCTACAGTATGATGTCAAGTTCCTTTAAGGGTTTGCAAAATGCTCTCAAGAGTTACCTAAAAATATGCACTTTCAATGATACCCTGGATGAGTTCATCTAAAACAGTTTGATTTTCAATTAAAAACACAAACAGGCTTGGATATATTTGGACACAGATGTTGCTGGAGTTTCCAGATTCCTTTGTTTCAAGGTATCCCATAATATGACAAAAAGTGTTGAGAAGACATCCATCTGATTGGGTATTCAGGCTTACAAAGAAAGTAATTACAGGGCCAGAGATGGGGAGTCAGCCCTCATTCATCTAAATTCCCTTTCGCATATCAACACAGATTGACCTTGATTTTTTAGATGCAAGTAAAGGACATTGATGTAATTTGAATAAACCAGTCTTTCAAATAGCCTGAGGAGTCTGGAATCAGAAATAACAGACTTGACAGAAGTTTGAAGGAGTAAGCAACTCTTAGGTAATTACAGTAGTTTGAAAAACAGTGTCTTCCCTTCTTATTGAACTAAATTTTCGTCTCCTTTCTAGGGAATGTTTGTTTGCCCGGTCCTTTGGAAAATACCCAACTGCCAGCCTGCCCCGCCACCAGCCCCTGCCCTTCTGCTTTTGAGCCTCTCCACCAGGCGGGCGGGCCCTCCGAGCCTCCTCTGCGGTCGGCGACAGCGGATCTCTGCTGCTAACGTGACCTCCAACCTTCCCTGCCTTTCTCCGAGGGCAGGGGCCTCGCCTCTCTTCCTGACAAAGCACTTTCAGTCAACTCTTGGATTTCTTCATGGCTGATTAAACTGTCTGTGTTTATTCAGGACCCTTCTCCTCTTTCTGTGTCCGGCTGCTGACCTTTCTGTGAGTTCACTGGACGGGAGAAAGCTCACAGGGCAGTGCGTCTGACTGCCTGCTCGCAGCCCTGGTGAAGATTTTGTCCTGGTCAATGTTTAGGCTGTTAAAATATTAGCACATCTTCAAAGCACATGACTTCTTGCCTGGTTGGTTTTCTGAGTAGCTGTTACTGGGTGAGGCCAGAGGCACACGAAAGACAACAACGCTAGATGGCCTATAGTTATGGCCACCGACCGGCCTCTCCCGAGAACCTCACCGATGCTGATCACCTCGCCGTGAGGCTTCACATAATCTGTGGATCTTTTTTTTTTCCTTTTTCAATTCCAGTCGACATTCAGTGCTACTTTATATTAGTTGCAGGTGTACAGCATAGACAGCATAGTGGTTAGACATTTATATTATTTACGAAGTAATTTCCTCCCTCTTAAACCCGGGACCCACCTGGCGCCACACACAGTTGTCACAGTGTTATGGAGTCTAGTCCCCGTGCTGTGCTTTACCTCCCTGGGGCTATTCTGTTACTACCAGTTCTTACTTTCCGGTCTCTTTCCAATCCTTTACACCCCGTGCCCCCAAACTCCTCCCCTCTGGCAACTGTCAGCTTGTTTTCTATATTTATGGGTCTGTTTCTGTTTTGTTTGTTTGTTTATTTTGTCCTTTAGATTCCACATGTATGTGAAATCATCTGGGCTTTGTATTTCTCTTTCTTATTTCACTTAACATGACACCCTCTATATCCATCCATGTTGTCACAAATGGTAAGCTCTCACTCTTTTGCATGGCCTAGTAACATTCCATTGCAGACAGGGGCCACATCTTCCTTATCCACTTGTCCACAGATGGGCTCTTGGGTTGTTTCCATGTCTCGGCTATTGTAAATAATGCTGTAATAAACACAGGGGAGCATATATCTTTTCAAACTACTGATTTGGATTTCTTCGGATATCCAGAAGTAGAATTGCTGGATCATAAGGTGGTTCTATTTTTAATTTTTTGAGGAACCTCCATACTGTTTTCCACAGTGGCTGCACACGGTCCCTGGTTCTTCATAAGAGTCGGTCTGGCCTCACTCCTTGGAAAGGGGAAGGAGAGAAAAAACGAAGCACAGAGAGTTTTGTGGAGTGACCAAAAGACAAGCCAAGACAAGTGCCTTAGACCAGAACCCCTCTACGGAGATTCCTGTTAGCACAGCAACTAACCCCTTGCCGATAACCATGGCCTGGGGCTTTTGGGCAAGCTGAGCTCCCCTCATGAGGCCCCGGTCAGATGCAAGTTCCGCCCTGTGCAGACAGTCATTCCTTTCACTGAACACTAGAACAGGCACTTGCTGTACCTCTCATGGTGACATTTTTGTAGTTTGCTTGTTTGCGTATGAATCTTATCAGGCTGACTTGACTGTAAGTGCTTGGACCAGGGACGGTGCTTTCTGTATCTTTGCATGCCTGGAAGCATGCAGCGCGTGTTCTAGTGAAAGTATGGATAAATGAGGTTCAGATGGACGCTCTCTCCGGGCCTTCTCTTACATTCCTTTAATGCCACCGTACTCACCTGTGCAATGCGGTGGTCCCTGCCCCCCGCACCACTCCTCAGGACATCTGCTGCTCCCTTGTGCACAACTGGAATGGCAGGAGGAAGCATGGCTCCAGGTTACACTGGAAACAGAAGAAACTTCTTATGTTTCAGTTTTCTTATTTGTTCGTCTCACCTTTACGTCCCTGCTTCATCGCCGCTGACCGTCTCGTGTGGTGAACTCTCGGGGGACTGGGTTTCCGCTGAGCTCCCTTCGCTTGTCATACTCCACGGGCTTCAGAATGCGATGCCATCCCTGGAGAAGGACATCACTGGAGCTGACCGCTGGCCCTCTCACCGTCCACGGGGACTGGTCCGGGACTTTGGGTACGTGCTCAGTCACTGCTGTGCCCTGTCGAATGCCCCATACCCACTCCGTCTGCTGTAGCTGCAGGGGAGTTGGAGAGAGAGGAGGAGGATCATTCTCTAAAGGCAGTTTTTCTACAGCGTCACTTGGAGCGTGGGGGCTGTCCTGTGTGTCGTGGGATGTTGGGCAGCATCCCTCGTCTCTGCCCCACTAGATGCCATTGTCGTTGCTGCTGCTGTTTTTCCCTGTAACCAGCACGGTGTTCTGCCCTAGCCTGTTTGGGGATGGTCTCTCAAAATGCATTTAAACTGCATAGTACTCCACCACTTGGCCACTTTCCCCCAAGGGGCCATTCCTCTCCCATCACCAATGGACTGTGCTCTGTTTTCTGTGGCTCAACCCCATGTTGTTTTAGGAACCCACTGGCTTTCAGGAAACTTGGAGGGGTGCCCAAGGAACCCACGGGAGAGGGGTGTAGCTGGAGGCGCTGGGCAGGCCCACCTGCTGTCCCCAGGCCTGGATGCTGTGTGGCGAGGGCACTGTGTTTGGGGATCTGCTCCTCCACTTTGCGTCTCCAGAACGGGATTTTTATCTCTTTTCTGCGCATTAATAAACCATGGTGAGCAATAATTCATACAAACTGGACTCACCAGAAACTAGGCTACAGACCAGAATGTGACAATATTGCTTTAAAGTGTGTATGTCCGCAGGGCTCCAAGCAGGGTTTGGAAGGCAGGGTGGGCAGCGTGCAGTGTGCTCCAGAGTGCACGCAGGGCCCCCAGGCCCGCGGCTCCAGGCCTGGGCTGGGCGTCTGGCTCCTTCTGTCTGTCTCAGTGGCCAAGGGAGGGAGTGACCCTCGTGGGGTGACGGGAGAGGAAGAGGGGAGGCTGGGATATGAGAGGCCAGTACAAGCTGAAAGATGCACACAGTCCTTAGAAATCATTCCCAGTTTCTGCTTCATTTAAATGTCAGTGTCCTGACGCCAAGTGCTGGCTGCCCTGCCTGAGGGGACACCTTCCCAGCGTGGCCTTCCACCCTCGGGAAGCCTGGGAAACTGCCACAGCTGAGGCAGATGAGAAATCAGGTCAGAGGGAGTCAGGGACTCATGAGGCACTGTCTCCGGGCTGCGGAAAAGCCTGACGAAACAGCCCTGCTTCTGAGGAGAGCTCACCTCCCCAGGGACCGGAGCAGTCACGCAGCCCTGGAGCTGCCCTCCTGGAGGGGCCGAGCACCCCTGGCGGGCCGCGGTTCTCCCTCCCATGTAGGCTGCCATCCCCTGCCATCGCATGCTGGGCTGCAGGGTCTGGTCACCCACGTTGCCTAACACCCGATCTCACGGGAGTGACCTTTGGCATTCTGGGCACAGCTTCTAGAACCCAGCTGTCAGGAGGGATGTCTCCTGGAGCCGCCGCCTCAGGGCGGCCCTGAGCAGTAACCCCGGGTCAGATGTGTTCTCAGGCTTGTCACTTGGCCAGACCCCACGGGACGCCCCTTCTTAGGAGATGTCTTCTTGACTGTCGTCGAACTTTGTTGGACAGGGAATGCCTTTGTCAAGTTCATATTTTTCCTAATAGAGAGGCAGGGAAAAGGAAGGGACGCTGTGGTCCCCACATTTTCAGGCTATGGAAGCAGAAAGCCATCTCTCTCCCCATGCTGCCAGGGTGCCTGCCCTGCCTCCTGAGCCCTGCTTGTCAGAGGCCGCCACCGGCTCATGCCCTGGCCGGGACTGCGGCTCTGCCAGGCCAGCGGCGGGCCCTCTGGGTGGGGGACACACGCACAGGCCCCACCTGCTTCCCCGTCACGAATCAAGTGGGTGCAATAAGCTAACCACACCGAGGAGGCCTTTTTGCCACTTGACTCATTCTCACTCCCGTTGCTGGGCCTTTGTCAGAGAGTCCTTTGTCACTTTTGAAAATGTTATTTCTGGGAAATAAAAGAACAGTGTGGCCATGGTTAGAGTCGCTGGTAAGTTCTATTACTTGAGGCACATTTACTGTAATAGAAAAATATGAATCTGATGAGCGTGTTACAAAGCCTATTACGACCACAACCATCATCTTTGTCCCCAAACACCACGGTACCTGCACTTCAAAAGCATGTTCTAAAAGCCATTGTGTTGGGGAAATAGGATGAACAGTGCTTGTAGGTTGCTGCTTTCTTTCAAAAAGGAAAGAGAGGGGAGAATGAAAAACAGCCACGCAGTCCCCGCAGGGCTCTCGGCAAGCGCTGCACCCTCACTGGTCTGGCGTGTTGCTGACCGGGTCAGGCACGCTCCATGTTCCGTGTGTGTTTCCTTTGCACGGCTTCTTGTTCAGCCCTAAGTCAGTGTTCTCCGTGCTTGTTGAGGCTAAACACGCCGTTTCCTCCTTGTGGGCGTCTCTGCGTCTCGGGGCTTACACACTGGGTGTGAAGAGCCTCCAAGGGCACGTGGCCTCAGAGTCCTGGATACTTAGCATCAACATGGAGCTGCTTTCGGGATCTCTAATTTCGCTCCCATACTTTCGGGAAATGTTGCTTTTATATTAACTAATGATATACCCATGGAGTCAAGTGCTTGATTGGCATGACTTTTAAAAGTAATGCCCAAGGCTTCAGAAAACACCTTATGTTTCCAGCAGATACCAGAAACCACCCCCTCAGACTCCTGGAGTGGGCGGCACTATGGGTTGGGTTGTTTCCCCCCCAAATAAGTGCAAGTCCTAACTGACCCTTGCACCTCGGATGTGAACTAATTTGAAAATGGGGTCACTGCAGACATCGTCAGTTTCGATGAGGCTGTAAGAAGAGAAAACTCAGACACAAACCTGCATGAAGCAAGAATGCCGTGTGAACACGGAGGCAGAGACGAGAGCGATGTGTCTGCAAGGCACGGAATGCTGACGGTCGCCAGCAAAGCACCCGGAGCTGGGAGAGGCTGGGACAGACTCTCCCCCACGGCCTGGGAGGGAACCAGCCCTGCTGATGCCTTGACCTCAGACTTCTGGGCTCCAGGGCTGGGGGACAATACGTTTCTGTTCTGTAAGCCTCACAGTGAGTGGTACTTTGTTAGGGGAGCTCGGAGCAAACTCACCCAAGGAGTCAGTCTCTGTTCTTGCTGGTTTCACTGACAGAGTTGGAGAAGCACTGAACTGGGTCATGGAAAGG